TCTTGTCTCAACTTTCCTGACGAACTCGCGCCGAAACGCTTGCTACGCAGGCTATTCATGACACACGAGGCTGACACTAGTCATGTTATGCATCAGGAACATTGTGGATAGATGCATCCAGCAAAGTGTTGCCGTTGTGTTGTTTCGTTTTTTTTTTATGGAGACTAAAGTACTTTTCTCAATTGCCGCCAGACGACAAATGTACAACTTTCAGCTTGTATCAAAATGACATTTTTCTCGTAGTGATGAAGGAGTCAGTCAGAAAACAATAACAAAAACAAACGGGTAAGCTTGCGCAGAAGGTCCAAAAGCAAAGTAAGGCTCTGCGAAACGGTCGAAATGCAAGCTTGTGATATATTTTTTTTTACTATACAGAAGGAACGCCTCGTTTACGTACACACACTCACTCAATCACAAATCAATCGTTAGGTGAATCTTTTAAGTACGAGAGACGAAATCGACAAGGCGCACTCCGGGCGCACTTGTATCAAAAGCTCACTGATTATCGAAATAAAAACATTGCATCAAACAACCCGAAAGAGATATTGAAAAAAGGAAGTAGATTAGCTAAGAAAGTATCGGATTGTGAGGAAAATCTGTATTTTTAGTTATTTCCTGATTAGCTTGCTTCATTCCCTTATAATACCCAGGTCACAAACGATCTAAACGATTGTGTCTAGAAAGAAGGCCAGTCCGTTATTTTTGCATGCCAAAATATTCTTTTGCCCAATGCGATTCTGAAATGGCAAAAGTTTACAAAGATTGCATGGCTTATTTACTTTTCTTCCTTTTCAACACTTTCCATTTTATTTCATACTTAATATTCATGTAAGGAGCTGGAGCTAAGTTTCGAAGTCTTGCCAATCTTACTTAGCATGATGTATTTTCTGTAGGCAAATTCCTTTGTTAATTATTCACCAACATGTAAACAAGGATGCTAGCAAATATTTGCAATAGTGGAGAGTCAACAGAGCAGAAAATTAAAGCGAAGTGCCTGGGGTATCTTACGTTGTTGCGCAATGTAAATTGTCAGCAAGCACCTCCCACGCACGCAGCGGAATTTCACGTTTTAATATGAACGAAAGCACAACTTCCTTCGCTCACGTCCATCTTTCCTCTTGTTAAAAGAAGAGGGCAGGAAATGCGTTGTTGTAAACGTAAATTTATGTTTCCTTCAAATTTGAATTATTGCAACGTTAGCAGTTTGCTTCCAGCTCCCTGGAAAAATCAAGAACAATTAAGCGTTTTCTCGCTGTGAGAAAGCTTTGCCGTGAAAATATAATGATAATAACAATGAACTCAGCTGTATACCCGGTCACAAGCTCACTGAGTCTTCTTACCTTCTATTTCTGACGAGAAAACAGAAAAAAAACTTGGACACGATATTTCTTGACATTGGAAAACATTAATTTATTTTTACAGTATGTACTTATTTACAGGATTGGTTTTGATGGTTTTTGCTTTGTACATTCAAGACCGTAGAATATTCCACGGCGAATTAACAACTCAAAATAGAAACAGCTATTTTCAGCCATGTTTAAACATGGAATGCCTTTGTTCACAGACTCATCGCGCTTTATGTTATTGAATACTGCTATTATTCTCATTGTAATTTGATATCTAAAAATACTACACGAAATCTCCACAGCTGTTCTCTCGTTGCAAGCCTATGATAACCTGTCACACAGCGCTTCAAAACTAGCGCTTCTAGTATTGTAACATCTAGCTCGCGTCATTTGTGTTGTTTCAATTCAAATTCACTAAGTTTTGGATAGTTGCCACTATTATTCAGTATAAACAATGAAATTGAAAGCCGCTACTACTACTTCGAGCACTTGAACAAGATTACCTTGTATTGACTGCAAACCATGACATAACATAAATTATAAAAATACAATTTCATCTGGGTGGCCTTCCGATTTTGAAAGGAATCAAGAGCAATTCACAGATTAATTCTCTATAATATTAATGCTTCGCATCTGCTGTCTTTTTTACAAATGTTAGGCACTATAAATAATTTAATTACTCTCTATTTTTCCGATCGGTTTGAAATATGTACAATAAGAATATTTACAATATGAAAAGCCAGCCAGCCGGCTACAAATTTCTAAGATCCTATCCATAATTTACTATATTGTTTCGTAATATTTTTGGAAGTGGTAGTTCGTCTGCTTGCTCGTCTAGTTTGGAACACGAATTCGATTTTCTCAAAGAAGCGCGAATTGTTCTGATACACACTTGTTGAAGAGCACGTGGCTGATGACTTTTGACGAGCTTTCCTACACATGGATAAACCTCTAAACACTGCATTTCCCAGTGAAAGAGACAGTCCAGTTGGAGTGGGTTCATATCCGATAGATCGTCCATTTGAGATTCACTTTTCTGACTTTCGGTTAGCGAGTAAGTCGCTAATGCGCGGCTAGCGTCCCTACCCGCAATGCAATCAATAGCACCGTCAAGAAATTGAATACCGCTCGCGTTTGTAGCATCAAAAACTTTGCCGTTGACTGCGAAATAAATACTGTTTTGCTGAACTCCATCGTACTGTTTTAACTCAATCACAGTAAAGGATCGTAAGTCGTATTCCTGCCCGCAAGCCACCGCTCTGATGCTGCTCGGCTCTTGCTGTGAAATGGGAAATAATTCTCTCCACATCAACTGGAGTGATAGCAAACTTGAACCAAGTGCGAAAAAAACGTCCAAATAAAGCTGAATAAACCATGTTAAAATGCCATAGTAACCACTGTTATCATCTGCCTCTTGTCTCTCAAAACGAACCTCGCATCGAGGTGTTAACCACTTGTTCATATCGCAGGGTCCCTCTTACTTCGCGCGAGTTTGATGCCGTGTTGTGTTTTGCGTTAGAAATGTATATTCAACTCTATTTACAAGCATTTATAATACTCAAGAGATTATTATAGACATGTGATGTAGTATTAGTCACAGATGACAGAAGACCAGTTTCCGGTGAATGCTTCACATAGTTCAGGTTACAGAAAGCCTTTTGTTTTCCATCCTATAGGCAGGCGAGGGTGTCTATAATAGTTATTGTGTGGGTTAAATCAAAGATACATCAACTGACGTGATCGCATGCAGGGTTGTTTCATAAAGGATGTGGGGTGACGAGTATTTCCTTTTGAGGCCGGAAGGTCATAACAACACGAAGTGTTAAGTTGCTCGTTCGATAGATTGTTTTTAAAACTTCTACAATCCGAACATATAGCATGCCAATAATTTGTTGGGCTTTGTATAAACTTATTTACCAAGTCAATATCTCTATAAGCAATAAAGTGACCAAGAAAACTTACCCAGCACCTTAAACTAAGCAAACAGGTGTGTAGAGCAAGTGTCCACTTTGTACTGTCTGTTTAACTGTCGCAGGTCATCATTCAGTGGCCGGCGCCGTGACCAGAGCTAGGCCGTGCCTACCCTTTTTTTCTTGTATCCTCTATTAAACAGTCCAAAAACTCAGGCAAAGAAATGAAAAAGAATAGGTGAAATTACTAGCTACAATGTACGAATGGCTCTAGGTATAAATACGCCGTTTAGGGTTTGAGTAACAAATTTTTCTAACAGATTTCTGAAACCTTAAGTTGCTTACTTTCTATTGTTTATGGGCCTCCACTTGAAAGTTTTCATAAGGCTCGCATTGGGTATAAACATGTGACTTCCGACCACATGCGGATGTGCATGTGCAACAAAAGGTCGCCGGACCTTTACATAGTTTATGAGGAAAAGCGTCTATTTTTTTAAAAAGTGACTAACGCTGTTCTGTGGCCACTTAACGTGTACGTGTAGGGTGTCCATATGACTGCTGTGACGAGTTCAGGGTTTCCATTTCAAAACGGGACAGACTCCTGTATAACTTGGGTTTAAAAATATGGGCAAACAATTGAAGCGTTTGGTTGGCTAGCATCCAGAAAATCTACAATTTTGCAAAGTGCTGGTTTCTTCGATATGAGCTTTTAGTACGAAATCATACTGTACACTCAATGAGTTTATCACGATTACAACTGAACAGAACATACATAAGACTGGATTAAAGAAGAGTTAGGTTAATAGCTTTTTAAAGAAACGCCCCTCTTATGAAAATCCTAGGTGAAAATATCTCTCAATTTTGGCACTAATAATTTTCTCTCAGCTATCTTGAGCACTCATCGACCTGTCATGTACAGGATCACTAATGAATCCTAGAAAGGACCGAACAAGTGAAAAGGTCAACAACAATCTTCGTATTTGCCAGTCATTTTATGTGAGACCCGTAACAAGCCTTTTTCCTATCTTTTTAATATTCATTGTTTACGAGTAGGACTGACCGCGGTAATCACTGACGTCACTTAATTAACATATCAACAAATTTGCTGAAGGCCGCGGTACAACCCTCACTTGGGATTAGTCTACAGTTTCTCCCATTTGAAAAACTGTTGCGAGTCAGTTGAATAGTTAGTAATACAGACTTTTCTATTCTTCTTTCAATCTCCGAAAAACCCACAAAGTATATATTTGTTTCTGGCGGGTGTAAAGTGGCAGTGTGCCATGAGGTAGAAGTACTCATCACTGATCCGCACATCACATCACATCACATCACATTTTTGAAAGGCGTTTCCAGTAGGTTCCACTTCAGAGTGTGTTCAAATTCTTTCCGTACACTCAAAGAACGGGATTAAGCTAACCTCAAGTTAAAAGTGTTACAATGCAAGGGAAACTAAGGCAAGTGTTTGTAATACTAAGTATTGTTTCGAAGATAATAAAGGGGGAAAAAGAAAATAAGCCTAAAACAAAAGTAATTGACTTATGAACATACGAAAGCCTCTGACTCGACACTTAAATGCGGTTACGAAAGGGTTTTTAATGAGTGTCGTCAAAACAAAGTACTTGCTGTGATTCATGTGCAGACAATCCAATAAACAAAGCCAGTAAAGCTTATATTAAGCCGGCGTCATTTAGCGTAAAAACGCGTCGGAGCAAGTACCTTCACTGTTAATGCTAATAGTCTCAGCGCCTAACTGTTAATGACTTAATAGTGACTTCCTTGGGGGAGTGGGGAGAGCAGGATATGTGACATCTGAACTAATTTCCTTTCTTGGGGGCAATTCCTTACTGTTAAATTTCCAAACCTGGGAATTGTATTTAAGCAGTTGATCCTAAAACATTAATTTCATGACTAAACAGAGGAAAATGAAAATTTTGAGAGTCCTGTGTGGTGTCTGTGGTTTAGCATCTTATCGCAGCACTTGAGCACTACAATCAACTGAGACACAATACACGGGCGGAGTATGCTAAAAAGCATGGCCGATATTAAATCCCAGAACAAAACAAAATACAAAGCACAATATAGACTTCTTTTAACTCCCGGTTTCAACTGTAAGTCAATTGGTTAAACTGACTTGCTTTCATTCTATTTTCAGTAGGTTTTCATTATTGACACTTTTTAATACTACAGTGATGAAAAAAACAAAACAAAACAAAACACTACATAGGAATGCAAATCAGTCCAGATCGAGACGTAGCTGAATTTGACGAACCACATGTGTCACGTGCGATGTTCGATATGCGATATGTAATAAACTGAACAATACTAACAATTTCTGTGCGGTTATCAAAATAACACAGAAAACGGAAGTTAATTCACTTGGAATTCCCGAACCATCGTGTTATTTTGATCAGATCGATCTCGCTTTTCTCAAGATGGCGTAATTTTAAAAACATTTCATACTGTGATGCAAACTGTAGATGTGGGAATGGGAAAGGCCATCGTTAATCCCATGAATTCCTTCCTTCCCCAAAAAGACTTGTACGTGCATAACTTGACGAAAGAGAGAGTGACGCAAGGTAAAATCAAAACATTAAGAAATGCACTCTTGCAAAACAAAACAACTTGACGTAATATTATCCTAGACACTCCATTGAAAAACCTGTTGAGCAATCGTTTTTCCATGGTCATGCGCAGAACGCACAAATCTGTAATTTGTAAATTTAAACGTATCATTCCTGAGTTTGTAAACGAATAAAAACGTGTTACTAGCGGATGCTATTAAATAGGTGAAAAATGGTATCAAGCAAAAGAAACCACATGTTCTTCATTCCTCCCCATGGCCTCGTACTCGTTCCCAGTCGAACGGCGACCACGCTTTCGTCCTTCCCAGCATTCCTCACGACCATCATCAGTTTCCTCAGGCTTAATGGGACTGGGAAAGAGTCAATGCAGACTTGAGCGTCCTGCGCGCGCACCGTCTTAAAATCTACATCGAGAAGTAAAACAACAGCAAATGTACGATAAGAGAGGTAAACGCTTTCTTGTAAAAAAATTCTTTATTGATTTTTGGGGAATACATGAAAAACGAGTATGCGCAGTGTGCTTCACTGAATCCCATTCGATTCCAGTCCATTTTCTACAGGCGCCTTATGAGTACCGTTAAATAAACTGCTACACGCAATATTGCCAAAATATTAAAACCCGAAATTTAAATAAATCCCCAAAGTTCATTTTGCAAAATTCTAAAACCAAAGAGTATCATGAAAGTTTCAAATGATTACAGCTTAGGATCTCATCACAGACATAAATTACGTGCTTAAATGTCTCTATATCGCCATTTGCACATCACCCATGATACACCTTGTATTAGCATTGTCTTGAATTTCTCTTGGGACGACTGTAATAACGAGGAGAAATAAAAAACAAAGGTTATGCAAAGTTTTTGGGGGGCAAACAAGGTGTCTTATTGGAGATGTGGAAATGCCGAATGGATAAATGACGATGAAAAAAAAAATACTAAAACGCCTAGCAATGCCCTTTCAAAGACTTGCTAAAACATGAAATGTCAAACAGAATAAAAAACATTTGTGCATATCTCTGTATTGTAACCATTTGGTTTGGATTATTTTCGCTTTAATTCATAAAATGAATGGGCGGTTGCCAAACGAAGTGTAGCGGTCGTTTAACAAAACAGTGTTTCAAGTGTTTTCAATTTGGCCAACACCAATATCTGAACGTTGTTTACTGTACACAGTAAGGTGCTTACGCGAAACGCACGCAAAGTCGTGTATGAGGAGAAGCACGTCAGCCGGAAGTAAAGCCTTTTCCCTTCGATGTGCCTTGACGCGAACAAATTGCTATTGACCACTACAGAAAATACCATAACATACCATAAGGCTCTGTTTGTCACCCCAAAATTTTGCATAAGCATTGTCTTCAGTTTCTCTTAGGGCCATTTTGATTCTCTTGCCATTGGGGTGGCAAACAAAGAGCATTATGGTATGGTATGTTATTTTCTGTAGTGGTCAATTGCCAAGTGTCTTTCAGTCTTACAGAGACGATTTGCCGGAAAATTTGGGAAAAACCACTGTCAAAGAATGCAAAAAGTCCGCTTCCGGCTTCCTAATATCAAGAAGGCAACTGGTGTAGTGTAGAAAAACAACTGGCTCCAAAAAATAATCTTCTTGAACGGATCTGCTGGTGCACAGATCGCCTTAAATCGCGAACTCAGTTGTAATTTGTTTAAGCAACCGGCCAAGTTTGTTAATAGTATATTATTCTATATTAATTAGGTTTTCAGAAATCTGCTTTACTGAAATCACTTCCTTTCAAAAATATTTCATAGACTATCTCGAACTTTTCCGAAGTAACCTAAATATAAATGCAGCGATTTTTTCATAAGCGACGAACATTAAAGCGGCTGTTAACACAGTTTGAAGAAGCTTAGCCTCCAGGCCTTTATAAAGTCCAATAAAACCTCGATCCCTGCGGAATAACGAATAAAAACCATTATGTTATTTTAACAGAGTGAAAAAAACTTCATCATTGTTTTTATATAAAACCGCTTTTGCATTTATCATTATTTTTTTTATTCTTTTTGTTCGTTTATGGTGCCGCTCGAGGGATATAAGTTTCACTAGTTGAACTATTAGCAACATTATATCTGCCCTTTGCCAAGTATTACACTCAGTATAATAATTGGTTTAATTGCTACTCCCTATATTATTTACCTTTCGAGAAGAGGCCCTTCGATCTTTCTCGATAAAGGCCTCTGCTCGCAGGGTAATATTATAAGGTCTACGAATAAATACACCGAATGCTGTGTCCAATGTACACCCAGTCTATTGCTGGTTTGCACGGCACCAAAAGCGTTTCCCTCCGCTCTTTTCTCAAGCAAACTCTTTGCAAACATTTTATTGTTCTGGTTCTATCAAGCAACATAGATACTTTGTCATGTGGTTGCACCCAAAAATATCACGAGGTCTCTTTGTTACACGGTTTTTAAAACACAAATTTACATGCGTGAAGTCAACTGTGGGAACATTTGTCGCTCAACTGTATCTGTACTTGCATGATTTAAAATAGCAAGACTGCTATTAGATTAAAGGAAGATGTATTTTATGAACTAACTATTCAAGAGGCACCACTAGTGTTTTTTCTCCTCTTGTATTGTTCATTACAGCGGTTGTATTAACACCACACAAAAAAAGAATATCACCGAATTCTGGCTGCTTCGCCGTAAAATGCCGAAATCAAACCGATATAGAAAAGGAACCCTTAATCTCGTGGTTCAGTATTTTGTGCAGGTTTTACGTCGTAAATCATCAAAAAGTACAACCTTTGAAACAGTTGCCAAGCGGGGAGATGAAGAACAATATACCGCAAATATCTGGATTATAACATAAAGCAATCCGCGGTCAGCTTACCGTTTGCACCCAAAAACCCGCCTGAACCCCCACGATATAGAAACGCCTGTCGTTCGGGCTAATACTTTGGTAAGACGAAAGTGTGATATGCTAAAATGCCTTTTACGTTCATTGCCAATGAAAGCCTATATAACCCTGTCGTTAAAATATTTGCAATCCACCCCTTTCCATCCCACCCCTGAAAAAAAATCCGACGGGAAATTTCTAACCCAAATAGCCAGCATAAGCTGAGCGCGGAGGGGGAGACAGTCAAACGCGAGAGACGAGTGTTCGCGCCAAGCGCTATACAGTACCTCCTCACGCGGCTAAATAACCGGCATCTAAAATACGTTTTATAGCTTCCAGAAGTATTATACCTAGGACTCCATGTTATATATATTATCTCTAACAACCCCGAGCACCCGTCCCTCCGTCCGCCACAACCCGCACTGTCTAGCCTGTTCCAGGCGTTCAAAAGCAGAGCCCCGGCCGCATTCAGCTGATGGGAAGCGAGTTAAATCGTAAATGGGGAAAATGAAGGGAAATACTACTCCCGCGCTCGCCTGGAGCAAGCTACTAACTGCGGTCCAAAAATCCTTCAGACGGATTCCACAAGCTGATCAACGAAAGTGAACTCGACCAAATTAACACTTTCATTTTTTTTAAACAAATCTGCAGATTAGATTATCAATGGTATTTTGCAGCAACTAAGCTTTATATTGCTTGAATACGTACTTGACAATTCTCGCCATGAGAGAGAAAATGTCTGCCTTGCCACTGGGTGTTTTTTGTCCGGACTGAAGAAAGAGGACAAGAGCGTTACCATTAATTTTACTTTGTAACCAACGCAATGAATTTAACGGAGCTGTGTTGGAGGAAATAAACTACAAATGCAGAGTAAATTTTCACGTATTACGATCAGCATTGCAGTATTCTGCTTGCAGAATTTAATATGTCTACAAACGGTGAAGCCGCTGAAGATGAGAACTAAGAGCTCTGATCTTTAACGTTGCTTTGGGAGTAACCAGGCTAAAACCAGAAAGCTTTCACTAGTGACCATCTCTCTCCACAGCGAGGTTTTCATGCACCTGGTCACGTAATACTGGAATAAACTTACAAAACAAATCTAGTGGGGAGTAGTAAATACGTTGGTTCTTTCGTTTTACGTTAATAATAACCTGTATATACTAAAACAGTGGATAGCGTTTTTCGCGCGCTCTGATTGGCTACTCAATCAGTGAATATCCTGCACTATTTACTGATTCACCTCCAGTTCCTCCGTGCGAGCGACGGCAAACTCGCGTAAGTTGCGAGCAAAATGCCTTCCCGGTTTGCTACCGTAAACAAACAAAGAAATTTCACAACTAATCAAGCAAGCTGTTTCCGAAATACACGAAGAAGGTGACGAAGTTCGGATTGGAAGTTCCTATCCCACGGTGATCGCATTCCATCGTGTTCAAAAATCTCCGCTGATCATTGGAATTGTAGATCAAATAAAGATTAAAGATTAAGCAGCTATTTCCATTCAGCGAGTCAGAGCCGTCCCATACCTTCTGCAAATTGCACGTTTCGACCTATTTTTCGTCTGTTTCGTTCATTTCGCGGCGATCGCTCAGGTATGGATAAATCTTCATCGGCAACATGTCTTTTATACAGTGTTGTGAAAGGGGAACCAACTCCCACGTGGCTAAGGAAAAAACAGGAAGAGGACGAAGAAGGAGCAGTGAAAAGGGCAATCAAGGAGTCGGAGATTTTCGTTTCGTAACTTTTTTCTATTTACTTTTTTCTTTCAATTACTATACTTTATCATTTTGTCTAGTAGACACTTTTTTCTACCCACGACATTCACCCACACCCACGCGCTTCCCACAACAACCCTTATACCCTACCCAATCCCCCCTCTTCCAATAAACGTATTTATTTTTAGTATACACTAAAACAGTGGATAGCGTTTTTTGCGCGCTCTGATTGGCTACTCAATCAGTGAATATCCTGCACTATTCACTGATTCACCTCCAGTTCCTCCGAGCGAGCGACGCCAAACTCGCGTAAGTTGCAAGCAAAATGCCTTCCCGGTTTGCTGCCGTAAACAAACAAAGAAATTTCACAACTAATCAAGCAAGCTGTTTTCGAAATACACGAAGAAGGTGACGAGGTTCGGATTGGAAGTTTTAACAGGTAAAGCTTTGTCTTTTTGACACGAATTTATCGATAAAACAGGTGAAAAAAAATTAATTTAAAAATGCAAATTAAGTTTAGTCTTGCGTTACTTTATTTAGTTGAGTTGTTCATAAATAAGCTTAAAACTAAATTTAATAATCATTTTTTAAAGAATGATTTTAAATACAAAAAGAATTCACAACTCCTTTTGAAGAAATTTCCTCGCAAGAGCTAAACAAATGCCTTCAAAAGTTTTAATTGTCGGTAAGAAGAAGCGACGGCCGCGGCCGCCTGGTCATTACGCGCCAAAATTGTAATCGTTGGCAACAGTATTGAGTTAAAAATCGTCATTTTTGTGCTCAATTATCTCACTGTTTTAGTATATACTAAAACAATTATTCACCTCAGTGTCGGTGGCTAGTCGGGGATATTTACCTCACTGCTTTGCAGTTCGGTAAATTTCCAGGACTAGCTACCTCCATTTCGGTGAATAATTGTTATTTATTTTAAGAGGGTCACCTATTACTATGAAGTATTCTCCCTAGCCTGCGTAGCAGGCGTCGAAACGGGTAGGGGGTAGGGAAAAAGGGAGGGGGGTAGTGCTTTTCTCCCTTCCCGTCTCCCTCCCCTTTTTTCGCCTGCCACGCAGGCTATTATTCTCCCCAGTGTCCACTACACGAAGTAACAGACCACGTGTTAGGCACGTGTTGAGCAAGTGTTAAGCGCCTGGAGTAACTTACCCGCTGCCGACACTGTGCCACTTGAAGAGGATATGTTACCACAGTGGAAACAGTTTTGGCCACTGCACCCAGTGCAAAATATTGTCTTCCACGTAAAGACTGCAAACCATAATCACATAAAAAAACAAAAACACCAATTATAAGGTAAGGTATCAAAATCACTTACTTGACTTGAGGGACCGGAGTTTTAAGGGAGGCGTGAAATTCACTGATATCTACCTTAAAAGCAAGAGGCAATACCTCAAAATTGCGGCTTTTTTTCATAAGCACGACCACAGCAGAAGATTTGGTAAAGAAGAGCGCTTTTTTCGGAGAATTCGAACAGAAAGTTTTCAAGTTTTCCTTTTTAATAGATGGTAGAGAATATGACTTATTTCCTCCGCCCGCGTGATCTTTGATGTGAACTGATGCCCCACTGCGGGAACGCATAGCTTGACAAGTGCTCGACAAATACTGGGGGAGATGGGCACGTTTGGAATTAACTGAGCCATTACGCCATGGGGCGATGCAAAAATACTTTCATTACAAATGCAGAGGTTTGAGTACATTCTTTTCTTGCAAATTCAAGAATTACTCGTTTTTCAATTCATGATCCCAAATTTTCGGGTGTCAAAATTTGAGGGTGTATCAGTTATAATTGACTCGGTCCTAGATATTAGCTGGGATGCTTCGTTCAATCATTGGGTCTAAAATGTATAGACGACACTAATATGCTATTGACCAGGTTACAGCATTTAAAGACATTAATTTCAATCAAGCCCAAGGTCAGAAAATATGGGCAGAATTCTGAGTAACAGAAACAGCACTGATAATAAATTTAGTCACCAAGTCCTATTTAATTCATTTTTTTGGTGGGGTATGACGGCACATACCTTCTTGTTATCCTCCATCAAAAATTTTTTGATTGCCTCATAAACCATAAATTGAATAGCAGGATTACCAGCAAGAACAAGAGATGGGCCGGTACCACTCCAAAGGGATACCAGGCCCTCTTCACGGCTAATTCGCTGCAACCCATCTGCGAAGCAATCAGAACAAATGTTTTTTTAATTTTTGGCTTTTGTTGTTTCCTGTATTTTGTGGCAATGGGAGTGTAAATATTATAATTACAATGACAATTACAATAACAACTTCAGTTATATTTCTATAGCCAAAAAATCCCCCCAAATAATAAAAAAAAAAACAAGTATAGACTTTCACATTTGCTCCAAAGATTCGAATTGTGCTGCTTTTTCATTGAGAGAATGAAAATCAATAGCAAATGAACTGGATGGGACTGCATGTGATATGAAAAATTATGCAGATCTTAGAGGGTGGTATGACACGCTTCTCGACTGGCATAATTCTTTCTATACCCAGCCACATCCAATAACAGTTACTGATGACTAAAACTTGAGGTAAATAGATATCAAAGCACACAGGGTGCTTTGATAACCCCTAACCCTTAATTAGCTTGGAAAGGGAATATTCTGTGGTGCCGTACATTGTAATATGACAAACCACTCAGTATTTAATGAATCAAAAACTATTTATTTTCTTGCCTGAAAAGATAGACTCACCAATAATCCCTTTGTATTTCTTTGTTTCACTAGTTTCTAAACCTTTAGTCCTAAATGAAGCTCCCTGTAGTTTTAAGCGAGTATTCACAACCCAGAGTGGTGTTGTCAATAGAACATTTACAATGCCTGAAAACAAAGATGACTGCAGTCAGAACCAAATTACTGATCAGTTTGATTTAGTTTACAACTCTTTTACCATTTTCTTATGACCTCAAAATCTGCCATATTGGTGACATCCTAAAACAATATGACAAAAGAAGCCATGTTGATGTTCCAAAACAATTCTGTGGGAGTTTATTTTTAAACAACAACAACAAAAAAAACACCATACCTGCCAAATATCCAAATAACAAATCCTGTAATGATGAAGATGTTTTACCCTTTCCTACAAAAACAGTCTTGAGGCCGTTAAAGGTGTAAAAATAAAGGAAATTTGAACAATAAAGGCTGCACAGTACTGGTAGCAGACCACGATATAGAGATTGCCTGAAAAATAACAAACAGTAGCAATGTCTTATACTTAGAATTCTACTATAAACTTAGAAAGTAATTATTGTTAATATATTACTATTCTGTGTTTGATGCGACTTTAGCTGTCCAACTCATAGAAAGGAAATTAAAATGACTCAAAACAACAGGGAATCAAATTAACACAGTTTGTTATGGTAAAAACACAGCTTGCAGTGATTTTGTGACATAGTTATGGTGTGTCCTGGGACTCATCTTGTGAAAAATCATGAGTGCTAGTCCAGAACCAATAAGTCCCAGTTTTAAGAAAAACGAGTCCAAAATTAAAAATGCTTGCAGGGCCTTTATGTAACCAGACAGTTAATATGAAGACAGACTCTAAAACTCTTTATTACAATGTACTGAAATTAAAATCGAGTCCTTCTATTTTAAAGCAAAACAAACGCTAAAAGAAATATGCATCGTTAAACAACAGCCATAATAATTGCCACAGAAATTACACAAATGGGCTGGATATTTCCACAAAAACACATGTTCGGACTGATCGATCAATCTTTCGTGTCCAACAGGATGCATGCCATGAATTACTGTATTTTGCGTCTTTGGGGATTTTCAGGTGCCAGGGATGCAGGATGCAGACGTAACAAAATCACTGAGCTTGGGAGTCTAACTTAACAGTACTTTGCACCACAATAATAAAGTTATTTTTCTCTTAACATGATTTTCTACCAAAAAGAATAAAAAAATTGAAGTCTAGCAAAATTTCCCTCTTCCATTTTGGTGAAATCAGGTGCCTGTTAAATTAAATAATAATATATAAAGTAGCCATAGCTAGTTAACAAGTCCTTCACATACAGTCCTTCCTCTTGGAATATATCCCTTAGCACATAGGCTGTATTCTTGACTTTCCTTTTATCATCAACTAAAAGAAATGAAGAAATTAAAAGAATTTTGTTTTGTTCTACAAGGTTTGCTTTTATATTGAATACAATATCATTATGATTCTTCAAAATACAAAATTGATATTTAAGGCTTCCCTTCTTGAAGATTGAGACACCATGATGTATTCTTACAGTATGTCTTTTCAATAGACATGTATTAGCCAACATGTATCCACACACAGCTTCCCCAACCTGTTTTTCCCAGGTCTAGGGGAGGATGTGGCTACACAAAGGCTGACAAAGTAATAATAATGATAGTTTCGTTATCATTATTATTATTATAATCATAACTTTAACAAAATTGTCAAATCTGATTGGCTATCAACTGCCCTGATTTCAGCCTTAATTGGACAGTTTAATAGGACGGTACGTGTCATGCCTAAGTAATTGGATAGTACGCGCGATCACGCGCATGCTTAAATAGCTTTTTTTTTTCACTGCCAGCAAAACAAAATTTAGAATTTCCTGTGTTTTGATTTTAAAAATAGCCTATTATATCGCAAATTTTGTTTAAGTTATGATTAATTGGTAACAGAACTTCGTGTTGACCAATTTGGTCTGTAATCATACTCGTGATTAAACAAATCGGACTCCCGCAATTTTGTTAATCACTCGTATGATTACAAACGGAATTGGACTCCACTCAGTCCTGTTACCATTACTTATTATTTACCATGAATATTTATTATTATTATCATCATCATCATCATCATCATCATCAGGGTCAGAGCCATTGATTTTTGTTTTAATAGACTAATAACCTTCCAGTCAGGGTAGTACTGCAATGAATGTAAGGTTTGTTCACTTTTGCATGCTAATGAATGATTTAACCTGTCCCTAATTATAGAACTTAAAAATTCTCTAGAAATCATGGCTGAGGAAGTGCTCTCTTTGCATTCCATTTCAAGATGATAGATTATGAAAAAATATTATTGTTACACCAATTTCTGTTAAAAGGGAAACTTGTAATGAGTGAATAATTTATTGTTAACTATTCTGCAATGTACACATTTATAACTTAACCACAACCTTGTAGCCTTGTTCTTGCAGTATCCAAAGGAAAAAACACAGTCATGGCTGTCACACTTCCCTACGATATTAAAGATTATTAATTCTATTGGCAAGCGTGAAAACACTACTGATCAGAATCTCCCTGCACTGCAGGTGTGCATATAGACAGACATGCATACAGACAACCCAAACTTTTCAAGTACTTTTTTTGGTGCAAAGTATCTGCTTGTACCCCTCTGACATGATAACATGGGGTACTACCAGTATTTCAAAGTTATATAATGGGGACTTAGGGTTCATTCTGCTTTCTTTTGTACCAGAATATCAATCCAGGGATCATCTTGTCACATTACTACATCTTCTAGTAGTAGGCTAATAGGTATGTGCCACTGGATGGTGTCACATTTTCACAACTAGATTGACTATTATGGGGTTGCATTTTTATAAGAGTTACCAGACTGGGGTCACACATTTTCAGGATTTTGGGGGTCAGAAAATACAGGTATGTAGGGATTTAAAAATAAAAATTAAGTTTGACAAATGTGTCAGTTCATGCATAAACAGAAAGTGAAAAAGTTGAGATTGCAAAAATTACTTTTTTCCAAAAGTGACTAAGATGGGGTCTATAATATGGCCACATAATAGACTATTATGGGGTAGGGGTTCTGAGAGGCCAACGGCACATACCCAGCAAAAATTAACCCAAGTACCCTCTCCCCCCCCCCCCCCCCCCCCCCCCCCCCACCCCCCCCCCCACCCCCCACCCACACCGCCACCCACACAAAACAAGCCCTCGCCATGTTCGTTAGAATGAAACAAACACCCCCAAACAAAAATATAAACATAAACACAAGAAAAAAAACATGTAAACAACAAACGTGACATGAGGTGGGTACTATAAAAAACAGACAAAAAACACTCTGTGTGGGGAGGGGGTGTGGACGGCAAAACCCCCCAACCCATAAAAAAAGACACCAACTCCCTCCCCCCCCCCCCCCCCCACCACCACCACCACAACCACCCCCGGGCTTTGAACCATTCGAAAAGGCAACAAGGCATCTCTAGATTTGTTTGGTATAACAAACACGTGCCAGCACAATGAAAGCATGATGTCGAGACCGTCATGAGAGTCATAAGCTTACATTGGTCAAAAGTACACAGTGGTCGTCAGCTGATCGATCCCTAGAAGAGCTATGGTTTCTTGTGTTTGATCTAGTTTAGTTTCTCCTATTTTTCTGCTTTAAATTTGTTTGAAATTTTTACTTGATTTACCACAGGCTCATGACATCACGGCAACCACAGAAAAGCCAGATTGCAAATAAACTAGTGACACTGTAGTACATACGTGTGAAACTTGATTTACTTACCACGGCGCCGGCCAGGGCATGGACAAAGTTTCGGTATGAAAATAACATTTTTAGCGTGTCTGGTAGTTCCAGTGCTGGCAACAGAGGAACCAGATCATTAAAGCTAACAGTTTTGGAGAACACTGTCATTTTGAAATACTGCAAGATCGGCTGGCTAGAGTAAAATCTACGACATCTTACGACATACCGGCATGTGGCTGTCTTGTTGCACAACAGCCAACCTCGTTCCCAGAGTCTTACGAGCTGGTTCCAGCTGGCATTACTTTTGTTGGCATCCGCTGATCAGCTATGAAGGGCGCGCGGGCGTCTTATCAAAGTCCTTCGCCCAAAATGCGACGTTTTGGGGGTACATTTTACATTTGGAAGAAGCGTTTTTTTTGGCGTTCACAGCCAATGTTTTTATGTATTTATGCAGTTCTAAACAGGAGTAAGCCGGCCTGGATTGACACGAGCAAGAACAAATTTGCCGACTCAACCTGCTCGGTTACCAAGCTGTGGAAGTTAATGACGTCAACTCAAAATATAGCAGCAGTCCCGAAGCTGATAACGAAAAAGTGTTAACCATGTCTATGAACAAAGTTCTTTGTAATAATGGAAGACTTACTCTCCATGGAGACTAGTAAGTAAACTAGTTATGATCCTGGCTACATATTTGTTCTTTTTGTGGCGTAAAACACTCAACATAACGCTTACGCTTGTGTTTTAGTGTTGTGTATCATCAAGATGGCGTCGAGTTCTCACTTGAAGGCGACCAGATTCCAGGCTTCTTGAAAGGTTCAAGGAAAGGAAATGTTTTCATAACTACTCAAAAGGTATCCATTTTTAAAATCTTAGTTTCAAGCCGATCGAAGATTTTGTACACGTTTTAAAGTTGTGTACGGCATTACAATGAATGGATTCGTCTTGATCATAAGACCGAGTGTAACGAAAAACGGTATGGAAAAAAAGGACTTTATTTGGGTGCCAATGTATTTAGCAGGAAAGTACTAATTGGGGACGCTATTTTTAGGTCTCCTACTGGAGACGGGACCGCCATTTTCCGTGTTCATCCGAGCCACGCGAAGGTCCAATCATTTGCAGGGCAAAGGGAGTACCTTCATTACTCAGTCATTTTTAAGACGCTGAGTGCTGGTCCGGTGCCGGGAATCGAACCGGCTCCCGCGACCTCCCGCTCTGCAGTCAAGCGCTCTACTGACTGATCTGAGCTAATCCTGCTGTGGTATGATACGAAGAATTGCATTGTCCTCGTCCTCAGCAATTTATGAAGTGGTGTCTGTATATTCTAGCATATATACCTCATAATGCAGTTGTCACCCCTTGTGTTTGTTTGTTTGTCCGCTTGTGTCTATTCTTACTTTGTTTTTGAGGCACTACTTCAGCTATTTTGTCATCACATAATGTGTGTAATTTGCACTCTCATTTGCTAGCCTGTCAGCAAGCTCTCAATTTGGAGTGTGCAAGCAAAGCGAGCCATCCAGTTTTGCACTGCATAAACAGCTGAGCAGCAGTACAATGCATCCCTTTTACCATCAATTTCTCTGTGATTGACATTAATCATATTGATATCAGCAAACATCTTACAAACTTTATGAACTCAAGCCATTTATGGGTGAATGATTATATCCATTTTGAAATCACTGGTGATCCCTGCAATCTTATTGGCTCTCAGCAGTGTGATTTATTCACGAATCACACTATTTTTTTGCTCTAAATCACGTCTGTTCTACATGTGAATCGCATCATTCATGTTCTAAATCACATCATTTTTGTTTTGAATACCACCATTTTTGCTATATGTTGCATTATTTCTGTTTCGGGTACAAAATGAGATGTAAAAGCCTTTTTGTTTTCACTAATCTCTTTTTTCAATGTGTAGTTCCAGAAAATATCCAGACCCCCCCCACGCCGGGAACTTCACCAACGAACCCCCCCCCGCCCCCCGCTTCCCCCTCTTTCTCCCCCCTGCCTCCCTTTCCACCTCCCCCCCCTGTCCCCACCCCCCCCCCCCCCTCCCCCCCCCCACCAACCCCCCCCCCAACACCCCCCACACACACGAAGAACACAAGAAAACAAACACATAAACAGANCCACAAGTGTGACAAAGACCCCCCAACCCCTCTGGAAAAGTTCATTTACACGAAGAAAGACTATTAAAGTAGAAGAATGAGGCAACTTATGGTTAGTACCCAATGGTTTCCATCAGAAGCTTGTATGCTTCTGTTTCCATTTATTTGAGTGATCTTGCGACATTAAAACACACTACACCACCACAAACTAACCTGATCTGTAATTTTTGCTCATCTCTTACTTGAAATGAAACAGAGAAAGTAATAAGTCCATTATATTTGTGAATTTACCTTAATCAGGGCAAGCTTACGATTTGTTATTCGTCTCACGGACGTAATGTTGATAGAATTAACGCCATTTCGTGCGGGAATGCAGAACAAGTCAAACTTACGACCACAAAATTAATGCAAAACAAAGAGGAGAATAAAAACTCTGAATTCTGAAATGGTAACAATGAACACCCCCTGCATCTTGAAGGAACTTGAAGGGAAACCAAGTTCAATTTACTGTTTTTCGATCGACTGATGCGACGTGATGCGCTATGGCCGGATAAATGTTTGGT